GAGAGTTCAACTTGGGGTCACGAGAGGTCAAATCCCCCCACTAATTAGGTGAAAGGTCACCAACTTATTTTTTGGGAAACCTGGGGTCACAGAGAGGTCAACTTGGGGTCGCGAGAGTTCAACTTGGGGTCACGAGAGGTCAACTCCCCCCACTAATTAGGTGAAAGGTCACCAACTTATTTTTTGGGAATGCAGGGGTCACAGAGAGTTCAACTTGGGGTCACGAGGGGTCAACCCCCCCACACTAATTAGGTGAAAGGTCACCAATTTATTTTTTGGGAATCCAGGGGTCACAGAGAGTTCAACTTGGGGTCACGAGAGGTCAAATCCCCCCCACTAATTAGGTGAAAGGTCACCAACTTATTTTTTTAGGAAGCCAGAGGTTACAGAGAGGTCGGTGTGGGGTTCTTATACGCCAAGGCCCTGGAGGTGAGGCGAGGTTGATACAGTGCTCTCCTGGGGCCCCCATTGCTTCCTGGCTGGTCAAAGGGCTGTGTTGGGGATGTGGGCCGGGAGCGAAGGGCACAGCCGGGGGGCAACGGCGGGGAGTGGGTAAGCAGGGCCGGTGCTACATGGCTGCACTCCCCATGTCCTGGGGAACCCCGGCATCCTGGCTCCCTGCCCTCCCTGACTCCCCCACAGTCCCCATGTTCAAAGTGAAAAACCCCTGATGTTCAAAGTGTAAAATACCCACACTTTCTGTTTCACGGGGACTCAACCTCAAAGGACCAGAGCACTCCAGCCACATTGGGGCTTGAACCCACAACTTCCTTTGCTACCTAGGGTGGCAGCCTTAGCACCAGCCCACTGAATCAAGCTGGAAGCTGCTCCTGCCATGGGCCCCTTGATGCGCAGCATCCAGCCCCCTCCATTGAAAGAGGCAAGTGCCTCCCCACAAAACAGGGGGAGGCTAGGACCTCAGCACCCACACAGAGAGGCACTGCACTGTGCACCACGGGGCCAGCCTGAGTCACCCCCTCACTTCTGGGCCCCTTGACTCTTTCCCTGTGAACACGGGCTGACTCCACTACAAGGGGAGCCCTGGGAAGGCTGTGGCCCCTGCCTGCCGTGTGGCCTTTCATGACTCTGCACAGGGCCAGCATGCTCTGGGCCCGGCTTTCACTCTTGCTTGCCCCAGCGGCACTTGCCCTGCTGTGGGCCAGGGGCCATTGCATTGCCCTACGGGAGAAGGGGCTCGGAGGCCCCTAGCGGGAGGGGCAGAGGATTGGCAGCTGGAGCCTGAGGAGGCCGGTCCAGCCCGAGCGCCACGTCAAGCAACAGCTGCCATTCGTCCCTTTCCAGCAAGGGATGCCGCAGCGTGGGTGACCCGCTCGGAGGCGCTCAGTGGTTACAAGAGAACCGGTGTAGGAATGAAAGGGGGCAGCGGATGCGGGAAACCTGGGTGTGAAATGCCAGGGGAGAGCAAAGGCAGCGCGGAGGGTGTCGTTCTCAGCGCACAGTAGGGACTGGGGGTTTTTTTCCATTTCTTTTTAGCTTTAAACAAGAGTATTTCCGTGCGAGCGTTGCTAGAAACGACACAGCGCCTCCGCGGATCGCAGTCGGACCAATGGGCGCACAGAAAACCTGCACACACCCACCAATCCCCAGCAGCCAATCAGAATGCGAACAAGGAGGCCGCGCTGCTGGGCCCCCCTCCACCGGCAGAGGCCAATGAGAGCGAGGAAGGGCGCCGCGGCTCTGACCCCGCCCATGCGGCCACTCCACCCAATGCCCGCACGTCTCAAGGTGGCCAATGGGAACGCGAGGCTGCGATCCCGGCCCTGAACCCGTGAACCGGCAGCAGCGTCCCCGGCTGTGGCGGGAGCGGTGGCCGCGCAGTTGGGCCCGGAGAAGCCCCCGGCAGGGACCCCTCCCCCCCTCCGTGGCTGACTGGCTGCTGGGGGCAAGGGCCCCGAGGAAAACAGCCCTGCTTGGTGCGGAGATCAGTCGGGGAAGGCAAGCCCTGCCGGTGCTGCTCCGTTCGGCAGCACTTTCCCTTTTCACAACTGTTCGCGGTTTGTTTTATCTCCGTATGCTACAAGTTTCGTAGTTAGTAGGTGGGGTCGGAAGGGACCTGAGCAGATCATCAAGTCCGACCCCTGCCATGGCAGGAAAGAGTACTGGGGTCAAA